CCCCCAACGTTACTCGTGTGTATGATTTTTGGCCTGTCTACAACTCCCATAGTGCGCACCCGCGCGTGAATCAACCAAGCACATGTTTTGGTCATCGAGGAGGATGGGTGTTAACGTCGTATGGAAGGCCACTCAATCCTTTTCCTTTCCCGCTACAGATTGTCAACCTCGGGGGTGAGTGGAGCCTTCCCAACGATTCGGGGTGATGACAACGGACGAATGAGATTGCTTTCTTCGAGTTTCCACGCGGCAGTTTGGCCATGTTGGCGCACCGCGAAGAGCCAGAAATAAAAAAAGAGCAGATTACACGCTTGTCCGCAGGGCAAAAAACGCGTTTGCCTCGCGCGTGCGTCCCTTCGCCGCTCTCCTCCTCACTTGACCATCGTTGCTCATGTCCGCCTGGCGTAGCCTGTCCTCAACCACCCGTTTGACGCGCGATACGGCCTCGAAATGAAATCAAACCAAAACGACAGCGCCTTCGAGGAGAGAGGCATGGACAGCCTGGCGCAAGCGTGGACAAACAAGATGCCGTCCCTCGACGCCCCCTCCGATGAGGCCTTCGACGCAAGCTCCCCGGCGGCGGCCGCCGAGTTGACTTGTGAGCAGGGGAACGCCAGCGGCGGAGTGGTCCGAGCGCGCAGGGTGGCGCAAGACAGAGGCCGGTACACGGGTTTCGACGACGGGCGGTTTAAGGCTATCCGGGATTCCACCCGCCGCGGCGAAAATGCAGGGGGCGGCGTGGGAAGGTTATCGTACGGATCCGCCGGCGGCGGTGGCGGCGGATGGTATTCAGGAGGAGGTGGAGCGGGAGGTTCGGCTAGAGGAGGGAGGGGCACCAGTGGTGCTACGGCGGGTTCTGGGAGAGAGGAGAGGGTGGGGAATGGGGGGGATTCCCCGAGGTATGGAGGCGGTGGCGGTGGAGGTTGGGCTCAAAGATATAACAAGTCCGGAGACGAAAAATAGCAGCAGTCGAGAGGGTTATTTTGGCGTGCACGGTGTCGGCGTAACCAGTTTGGCTTTGTTTTGTCGTTTGGAGAGGGAAGGTCAACGTGTTTTATCTTCGTGCTTCGATATCGAACGAACGTGGCTATTGGAACATGTTTCAGGGGAGCGTTGTGGCCGCGGCCTTTTAGACCCGTGCGAGAATCCTGCTGGCAGTGCCCACAACACACACATCATTGTGTGGTCAGGGTTATTTTGGCGTGGACGGTGTCGGCGTAACTAGTTTGGCTTTTTTGTTGTTTGGGGAGGGAAGGTCAACGTGTTTTATCTTTTTGTTTCAATGCCGAACGAACGTGGCTATTGGAACATGTTTCAGGGAAGCGTTGTGACCGTGGCCTCTCAGACCCATGCGGGAATACTGCTGGCAGTGCCCACAACACACACATCATTGTGTGGTGATTACCGGTGGTTGATGCTTTGCGATTCGCGATTTTCTCCCCTTTTTCGCGCATGCAACTGGATCCGTACACTAAATATTTTGACGTCGTGTGATATGACCTCCCGTGCATGTGTAGAAAAAACTTTGCAAGTGACTTCTGGATATCGCCCTTGGAATTCTACTTCTATACACTACAAACATTGCGGCAGTTTTGAACTACGACACCCTTGCTTGGTGTTGAAGTTTTGAACTACGACACGCTTGCTTGGTGTTGTGAGACGTGGAATTGCCAATATGTGTTGGGAGCGTTGCCGGGGGGCACGGGGTATCAGAAGAATACTTAGTCAATAACGTCGTCTGTGTGTGTTTTTTCCTATATTTATTATAGTGACAGTTCCCTCATTTTCAGCGTATGTATCAGCGTATTTGTCCGTACAACTACAAACATCCAGCGTTACACAGGAGGGAGGTGAACAGCAGCACTTTTTTATTCTTTTCATTTCTTTTCATGCCCCCACCTTCCCCCTGCGGTGCGTGCCGAGTTTTATTTTTATCGCGAGAGGGGTCCAGCCACCCCTTTAGTCGTCAACGGTGCTTACGTCTAAGTTTGGTACTAACGAGAGATTGTCAGCTATATTTCGCTTTCACCCGCACAAGTCGAAAATTTTCACCCCATGGAGAGTCGAACCCACTACCTCAGCGACTGATGGATTACGAGAATACTACTAGAAGACCACCGGCGCGACCGGTGTAGGTGGTTTCGAATTTCACATTCTTCGCTGTCTATTTTCTGGTGTCGGACGCCGCGGTCCATTTTCTTCAGTCACTCGCTCGCGCTGTTGATGATCTCGCGCCAACATGGTCCTTCCTGTGGATTGACGCAGACGCTGAATGCCAGCAACATATCAACACCAGACGGACAAACAAACAGAAACGGCTATTCACTTGGTTAGGTTGGAAGAAACCGTGTGGTTATTGTTGTGTGTGCGGTTTCAGCAGTTAGATCTAGGTCGTAGGATCGTCTTCTCCGCTTTGTTCTTCCGGGCACACGGCACGAGTCGGAGTGTGTGCAGATGGGTTGTCTTGTGTTTGCGGAGCGCCTCTATGTATCATCGGCAGGGTCGAACAGAGTGCCGGTGGGATAAGGCAGACTCAAGGTGGCAATGATTTCCGCTCTTCTGATGTTGTTGTAGTCCATCTACACGACAACGCAATGGTGTTTGTGAAAAGGAGGGAATATCGGCTTCGTCGGACGTTTGCAGCAAGCCTGCTGCCCTTCCTCAAGGGGATGGAAGAAAGTTGGATATCAGCGAAACTGCGGAGGTGATCAGTGATGAGCTTCCTGCACGGAACATTTCTCCGCACTGATGTGTCTAAGCCACGCGCGTCTCCTATTGCAGTTGTCCCCAACGACCCTTCTAGTTCTTTCGGTTGAGAGGGTCGGATGAAATCGGAACACCACGGACAAACCTTCCAGTAGCAGCAAATTGCTTGGTGCTGCTGTGCACGTCGCTGCACCATAGAACAGATTAGAGGTACGTTGAGTGTGCGTGTTCGAAGCGCGTTCTAACAACGACACCAACCACCATGACAGACGACTAAAAGTCAACGGAAATTTTTCACCAAACCAACGCCATTGTCTGTAGTAGCCTGCGGTGTTCTGCATACCGCTCGGAGGGCGGAATACCACGTACGTACCAGACCAACAGGTCAAACGTAGACCAGTTCTGGACCAGTTGGCGTCCTGTATTCTGATCAAGAGCACACCTTTTTAGTAAAAAAAAAACGCGGGGGTACGCCCCCGCCTGCAAATGGCGAACGCAAGAACAGGCCGGGTGACCAAAAAAAATCAATCTTTGGTTGGGTGCCGGTTCAGTGTCCCCATTTCCTCATGTGCTTTTGTTGTACCCGCAAGAACGCGAAGAGCTCCGCGGCGACATCCGAGGGTGTCCTCCAGTTCCCGCGTAGCCTTGCTGCATCGAGAGCGGTTGCCTGGCATGAGAAATCGCCAACCGACGTGTCTCAACGACCCTCTCCATTGGCCAAGGCGAACAGACCGCTGACAGTCTTCGGAAAAAATTAACTATTCTTCCAACCGTCATATCGATCTGCAAATCCAACCACGCGCGGTCTCCCCCCACCCACCCCCTTTCAGTTCACTCGCACTTTTCACCTCTCTTCCCCTCTCCCTCTTCCCTTCTTCCTGCAAACGTCACCGACCCCCCACGCGCCATCTGCTCCTGCCGAGCTCTCGTGCCGAGAAGTGCTTCCTCTCTCTGCTCGAATACCTCCGGGACCGTGATCATGATTCGTTTGCTTGGACTAGGCCTGGTGAGTTTCTTTACGTCAGCAGCAATAGCGGCTGCACACAGCTTCCTAACGAACAGTATTTTCCAGTGAATATGTGAGAGCAGACCTATTTCAGCTCTGCTGTGAGAGAAGACGTATCTGGCATCGGGGCTGTATGCGAAGGTCGTGAGCGTGGCACACCGAAGGCTCACACCGATGGCCTAGGATCCATGATACGTAATCGCCTTGGGCAGTATAAATGCCGAAAACCAGAAGCCGCGGGTATCTACGCGACACTTTTGTCGAAAAAGGTGGTGACCTCCTTGTCCACTTTCCTCCAATTATGTGTTCTCCTCGGAAGTCGTTCGGTTTTCGATGGACAACCAAGTACGCATACGTTACAGAGATGCTTGGTGTTGATTGGTACGGGTGCGCTCTTTGTTGTCGCGTCCGGGTCTCACGACCCTTTCTTGTTGCCGCGTCGCGACGTGTGCACAGCTGTACGACTATCTCCGACGTACATATACTTTCCCCGACAGCTGACGAAACGCCATCATTTACGCTCCGGCGAAGAGAGCCGCTCGGTAGCGGGGCACGTGTTTTTCCCATTTTCTCCACATCACACAATAGAAGAAGATAAGCAATGAAATCCATAGCGTGAGCGAAAAGCTACCTGCATGTCTACGGTTTCCCAGACGGCATACAATGATATCGGAATAAAACCTCCGAACTGTTTTCGGGTTGGGGTGAACAGTAATCTTGTGCGTATAGTCTACGTCGTACTGCTGCAGGCTTCGACGTGTGTGCCCTGTGATGTATGCTGTGTAAAGTGCCAGTCTCTTGCAGGGCTACCGCACCGGTCAGCCTCATGCTACGGTATTATGCACGTCGCATATTCTTGCGTCGACCCGCCAACGCTCGCTTCACACTACCCATCAATCCGTCGATAGATGATGATTCAAGCAAATCGAATTTTGCTTGCTTGTAAAAATTACCTTTTTTTCCGGTTATTTGATTACACGCACAGCGCGCATCGCACAACAGGGTCTGCTCTGCCATGTGCAGTAGGCGCTTTTTGCTGCTGTTGCGAGCAACAACGGCTCCTTGCTAAATGTAAGACGTTTTCCAGCAGTAACCAAGGAACACGCAACGTTTTCCTTCCTCGCTCGATCTTGGTCCCTCCGCACTTCCCTTGCTGATATTTGCAACTGCGGGAATATGTATAAACTCTCGTCGTCGACGTTTGATCGCAGCTGGCCGCTTCGGCCGAAGCTAAGACCATCCAGGTCGAGGCCGGGGAGGACTTCGAGGCGGTCTGCCTGAAGGTGGTAGAGCCCGGAGACAAATGCAACCTCGCGAAGGGCGACTACTACCACGACGGGATCACCGCCGTCCACGGGACGGAGGACGCGCCCATCACCATCACCGGGCACTCGGAGGCTTGCATCAAGGGCTCCAACACCCAGGACCGCGTGCTGCAGATCGCCCACGACTACTACATCGTGGATGGCCTCTGCTTCGACGGCGAACACGATGGCGATAACGTGGCCACCGCCATCTACGTCCTCGGCGCCGACGAGAAGAGCACGAAGAACGGCGTGACTTCCTCCGTGACCGGCCTCAAGCTGCTCGACCTCGAGATCAGGGTGCGTTGGGCCGTACATAGTAAACGTTTTGAGTGGTCCGGAGCAGCTGAGCTACTGTCTGCAACCAGCTAGCTGCGCATCATTTACCTCTTAATGAGTTCCAAAAAATTTCATGTTCTGTCCAAATGTTCTTGTACATGGCCGAAGAAAATTAATCTTTCATCATGTTCGGGGCGTACGCAAGTTGTCCGCTCTCCCGGTTCATTATCGTCCTTGAATAGCCGCACTTCCCTAACCCGATCACCCCTCCCGGCTGTCCCATTGTGCAGAACTTCGGCAGCGAATGCATACACTTCCGGTACTTCGTGACGCACTCCGAGGTCACCGGCTGCACCATCCAGGTAAGCATCACATTTCCGAACGAGCGAGGTTTTTTTTTCCTTTGATACCATATTTTTTTCATGTCAAGTGCGAAAATAAAACATCGGATGTGCACGCTTTGTTGTCAACGTCACGGCAGCCTTTCTTCGTAGAGCAGAATGCGGACGGGAAAATTTCCGGATTAGATGGCGCATGTCCCTCTGCAGTCGAGTCAGTATTGCAAAAATAATTTGTCGTCGGAAGATGCCTTTCCGTGCTGCGAATTGGGAGTTAACAGCAGAGTATTTACAAGCAGATGCTTCATTAGCTATTGCTGATCCTCTTTTGAAGTATTTGGATTAGTAATAATGGTTTTTATTCTTGGAATTACTTTGTAAGATTAGCTATTAAAAAATGATCAGATCGCGAAATACTTTTTTTACAGGAAAGTGAAAAGTTAAAATGGAGCTTATTATCTTTTAGGCAGATGATGCGAAGGCTCAATTATGGCAATGGATCTACCGAAGAACAGCAACGATGATGATAAACCACTCACTCTGACATCTTCGTTCGCTGCATTTCCTTCCGTCGCTTGTCTAACAGCACTGCGGAATGGAAGCCTTCGTGAATGGCGGGGGTGGCAAGGTGGGGGAGGGAATTTACGTCGGAACTGCCCTCGACCAGGTCGACGACGGAAAGGCAAGGAGATACAGAAAACGCGGAAACAACCGCACTCGAGAAGTGGTGGAGGACCTCTTTAGCCCGCTGTTTGGTTTTGGAGAGTCGTCACGGTGTGCGATTAAAATACAAGTGCTGATCTTGTTGTGAATGTGTTTCGTCGGGCTTCAGTTAACCCCGTGTTGGACAAGCATTGCAGCGTGTGCGAATGTGATGTGACGCCGACCTGTTGAGACTACGATGCATGTGCTGGTGGAACCGAATGTGCTCTCTCGAACCTGTGGTACGGTAGTTCGTGTGATAATCCACACAAAACGTGCAACACGCAAGACTTGTTCCGAGTCAGCAAGAATTGTTTCAGGCTCTGTTTCGAATGTCGATGATTTCAAGTGATGAACGAAAAAAACTGGCACATTCGCCGCCCGTTCGGCAGCGTGAGTTAACGAAAATATGTACCGGGAATTTGAAGGTTTCTCAATGAAAAGCTGTTGCGGGACAATCTTCCGGCTAGTCTATTGCAGTAATGCCGCGAGTGTTTTGTGCTTACCGTGCCCCGTACGCCGCGCCCCTTGTTTGCAACAAACACAATTCAGGCGCCGGAAGTGAAGATCAGGACCGGATCTGCGGACAACGTGGACGCCGACGAGTGTAACTACAACTGGATCCACCACAACACCTTCCGCACTTACGGCAACGAGTGCGTGGACGTGAAGGAGGGCAGCGCGTATAACCTCATCGAGCACAACGTGTGCGAGCAGCAGCAGGACGCCAACTCGGGATGCATCGGCTTCCGCGGGTCGGACAACACGGCTCGCTTCAACGACATCGCCGAGTGCACGGGAGCCGGTATCCGCGTGGGCGGCGACAACGGCTTCGGCGAGGGCAACAACATGTACGGCAACGGCATCCAAAACTGCGGCAACGGCGCGTTCAGCGTCATGTCCCCCAACCAGGGTGTGGTGTGCGAGAACGTGATCTCGGGCGTGGACGCCATCTCGTACGGCTCAGACGACCAGGACCAGGCTCAGTTCACGGAGGCGGTCGCCACCGGCGACTGCTCGAGCTACCCGGGCGACATCGATGGCGTCAGCTCCGCCCCCGACAGCGCCGACAGCGCTGACAGCGACGACAGTGGGAACGCCCTCGCCCCGGATGACGATATCGAGGCCGGGGTCAACTTCGCGGACGACGCCAAGGACAGCGAGCCGGAGATCGAGGTGATCGCAACGAACGAGGCGGCGGGCTCGAGCGGGCTCGGCGACTGCGCGTCCGTGGCCGCGGTCGGGAAGACCAGCGTGCAGCACCCGGACTACGCCGACGAGAGCACCTCGGTGGAGAACTTGTTCGACGGTAACGTGGACTCGTACTACTCGGTCCACCGCGAGAGCACGTACATCATCCTGGAGCTCGAGGACGAGGTGGAGGTGAACGGCGTGGCGATCGGCTTCTTCATGAAAGCGGCCGAGGAGGAGCGCATCCAGACTTTCGACGTGGCCGTGCGGTCGGCGAACGACGAAGACTGGACGACGGTCATCTCCCGCAAGGAGTCGTCGGGCGAGATGACGATCCAGACCTTCCCCTTCTCCTCCCGCACCGCCCTTTACGTGCGCTTCGAGACCCACGGCAACTCGTTCAACAACTGGTCCGCCTTCACTGAGCTTGAGGTGTGCGTCGAGGCGGCGGAGGAGTCGAACGCCCTGTTTGGTGGCCTCCAGGCGCTGGACAGTGAGCTCGAGGCGCTCGCCGGCGGCGTCTGCGACGCCCCCGTCAAGCTCGCCCCCGTGAACGTCCACGCCAGCGGCGAGGACAACGTGAAGGTGGTGTTCGACGGCAACTTCGACACGCGGTGGTCGACAACCAACACCCAGAACGCGTCGGACCTGTCGAATGACAAAGTGATATTCACCTTCGGCGGCGACATGAGGGTCTCCACCGTGCAGATCAGCTTCTACGACGGGGACCTGGCGCACCAGTACTTCTCCATCTACACGCAGCGCGCCAGCGACCGCAGCTGGACGCCGGTGCTGCTCAAGGAGCAGGCGGCCATGAATGTCGCGCTCCAGACCTTCACCCTGGAGGTGGATGGCGTCCACAAGCTGTACGTCGTCGGCAACGGCAACGACGTCGGGGCTTACTCCAAGTTCTCAGAGATCGCGGTGTACGGCTGCTAAAAGCCGGCACGAGAGAAGACCTGATGTCATTATCTTTTGACCACCAGTGTACGGTTGCCACCACATTTTAACACTTGTACGGTTGCCACCACATTTTACACTTCGTAGCATTAGTTCATTGCGCTTGTGTACCGACGACACCACCGGTGGGTGGGAAGACTACTGAGTTAGATGCCGATGAGAAAAGAGGCAGTAGAGCTGATGATCCCTTTCAGCGTCGCAGGAGGTCATCTGTCGTCGGCCGGAAAAGAGACGGCCCCTGCCCCCCATTTTTTACTTTTTTTTTTGTATCATTGATGGACTGTGTGGGGCGTCGTCGTGAGTGCGGAGATGCTCGGGTTGCAGCGCCGTTGAGGGTAGAAATTACCTTGTCTGTTGACACCGTGCGATGTGCCCGGTGGAGGAAATAGGTCAAAGAGGAAGTGGGTGATTTTAGAAAGAACGGTAGGTCCATACAGGGGGCTGAAGTGAGGAAGCAGCGTCGTGATGATGTGTCGTCGGTCGATGTCCTCTGACCGATTTTGTGTCTCGCGGTTTAGGCCAAGGGAACTTTTTTTGGTGTGTCGGCGTGTTCGTCGTTCCGAGTGTCGCATGTGGGCTTCCTCAATCCCCTGTCGCTATGTGGTGATACTCCCGAAAACGAGTCCACGTTTTGACAGTCTAGACACCACGTGAGCACGACTCCGCACATGCTAGGACTGTGGAATAATGTGATTTGTAAACTCCAGAAATGAGTTTTTTAGTGTTTTTGAATCTGTACATGTTGAGCTGGCAGACCGGAATGGTCGCATCACCCAGGCAGGGTGTCCCTGGTTGCTGCCAGGTATGGCGTGGTTTCGTTTGGTACAGACCAACCGCGAGTGCATGCATGTGAAGCGCTTTTGCCTGACAAGTCTGGCCCCTGTACAAAATGTCTCTTCCATCCCGTCGTGCCTGTGACAACTCGGCGGCGTATTATTTGTGCAGCCCTGTTTTTGCTTGTGTTTTGTGAGTACACCCGTGATGCGTGCTTAGCAACAGTGCGCCTGATTTATTGTCCCTGAGGCATTCGCCGTTGCTGATCCTCCTAGATCTTTTTCTACGAGGTAGGTGCTGATTTTCGCTTTTCTTGGACGTGGGTCAATCTTCCTGCTTCACGTTTTGGTATCGGGGTCTCTTGTAACATGTTTGTACTTGGGCCGACACAAACGACGGAAGAAATTGCTCAATTGGTTACTTCATTCATTGTTGAGGGAAAGCGACATGATGAAGGACGTGTCTGTCTCTTGTCTCCCTGGAGCGCATGAAACGCCGATTAGTTGAGTCACTCACGTTTTGGGGAAGTAAACTTTTAGACAAGGAACGATACGCTGAATAGCCAACGAGGCGCTATGCGCCTCTCTTGTTGATATTGATATAAATCATTTTTCGCCACGATTTTCAACGAATGGTTTCATCTACTGCTGTACTCCGGATCGGGAGAGAAAGTGATGTTGTTATCTTCTGGCGAAGATAAAGCAACCGAGAACAACAACACGTGGATGATAGGGTGAACATGGACTTATCTAGTCCAAGGGGCGCCGTGCCGTTAAAGTCTCTTTCCGCGGCGGGGGGCTGGGGCATTCATCAACCGCGGCCAAGATCGGTTCGACATGTGTTGTTGCCGTATGAGAGAACACAAGAAAAATGCCCTTACTCAGACGAACTCGCGACTTTGCACGACATGTCGGGTACCGACTAGCTGTTGGCGTGGTACCACACACTACATGAATCATTGCTGCATGTACCGACAAGAGCAAGCGCCTTCAAACCAAAACCGTATCCGCCGTCCTCTCCGTGCAACACACACGTGGTACAACGCCAAACCAAACTCCCTTATCTTGAAGCGGCACATACTTCGACCGTCCACGAAGGTTCGGTGATTGTCGTTGCTCCTTCGTTTCGCTTCACTCTCCGTAACAAGGCTTGCCTAGCAGTGCTCTCTCTGCCGAAAAGATGCACTACACGTCCACCCTTTCTTCGCACAAGGATGCCATCATCCTCGTTGCCGTCAGCCGCGGTTTCATGAACTCAAAAGAAGCCACCACCCCCATGCACGCGCGCCTACACATACATGCTGCCACACAAAAGAAAAGGCCAACAGACTGCACTCCTAAGTATTCCACCAGCGTTCCTTGCAAATATTCTACCGCCATGGGTCGTGCAGGTTATACCCTACCCATCCTCATTGTTGCCCGTCCTTCTGCGAACGCCGCCATCGTCGCCGCCGAAAAGAGATCGCAAAACCTTGGCGTCCATCCCTCCCCCGCCGCCCCCTCCAACATCGCCGACAGGATTTGATTGTTTGAAGCGTCTCCGAATGCGACGATGCGAGTCCCCGACCCCCGCCGGCGCGGGGTTCCCCGGAACCCCCTCCCCCCCCCCTGCCGTCAACTTGGCTGCCGCCACCGCCGCCGGCGAGCCCCCCCCGATGGTGGAAGCAGCTGATGCTGAGTTGTTGTCGTCGCTCCCATCCTGTCTGCGTTTTCTCTTGCGCTCTTCCATCTTGGCGAAGGACCGCCCGCTCTCCACCAGCTCCACGTACCGCGCGTTTTCTCTGTTGTTGTTGCGGAGGGAAACAAAGGGAAATAATACAACGGGAGGTTGCCAGCAGAGTAGCAGCAGCAACAACAGCAGAAGCAGGTGCGTGGGTAGAGTTATTTCAAACTCGGAAATTTACCCAAATTTCTCTGGAGACTAGCAAATTAAGGTGATTTGAGTTTTGAACGCCAGAGCGGTGTGTTGCGTTACGGTGAAAAAAAAAACTCAGCGACTAGGGAAATTCAGCCTCCGCCCCCTCAAAGAGGCTGAAATTAGACCGCGGCTGAGAACATTTTGTTGCATCCCCCCAACTTCTTCGCTTCCGTGCCGTTGAGTCACGCCGCATCATCACGTCATCGCAGATGACAGACACCCAACCAAGCAACGCATGCTTGTCGGGCTTCACTACTTTGTGCTCTGTATGATGGTTCCTGCTGCTGCTACTGCTGCTGCTGGTGCCTAACATACTGTGTGTGGGTATCGTGTGTGGGTGTACTCTCTCTCGCGCTCTTCGTTTAAGCGCCTTTTGTCTGTCTGTGCCGATCTCCCCTGAGGTCGCTCACGCCGTCCCCCTGTCCCTCGTCTCTTATTTTGTCTCCGCTCCAGCAGCAGCTCCAGCATTTATGCATACAGCAATTGACAACCAAAAGAAGAGAGAGAGGGGCCGCACGAGATAAAACACAAACGACACCCCGCAGATAGCCTCTCCTCCTCCTCTGCTTATCGCATCTTCCTTACCTATAAAATACTTGGCTCATCTGCCTCCTCTATCTCTCGCTTTGTTTGGCACTTTGCACAGCACACAACGACAACAGTCAAGCTGGCGGCCGTTGAGATCATGATAATCAGGACACGTTGAGCGGGATCAAAACTATTACACCCACCCACCCCCCGATTTTGCCAGATTCTGCGCAAGTCCCGAGTTTTTAATGTGGATCACATGCAGACCCACGTATGGGTCATGGCCTAACAGACCAAAAAAAGCTCGAATTCCTTCCTCGGAGTTTTAAATAACTCTGGTGGGGAAGGCATGAGAAGGCATGGCCGCCCGCGGTTGAGGATTTCTAGGCAGTCAGCGTGAGTCCGCATGTGCGCCCTCGTGATACACAGTCGGCACCTTGCAATACTCGGAAGGCCGCGGGTGCACGCCGCTAGACACATCTATTGTCGAACCGATCAGCCCGTTGGCGTAAGAGTCGACTGAATGTTTCAACTGGTAAATAGAAAATTTGCACCCCGCACACGCGCGTGCTCCAGCTCACCTCTTCGCCTGCATCGTTTCGAGGCGCAGCTTCTGCGACCGCACTCTGCGCTCGTAGGCCACCTTCTCCGTGAGGTGGTCCCACTTGAACTTTCGCAGGTACTTGAGGTTCCACATGTCGTCGTGGTAGTAATTCCGCTTCCTCCCGCCGATGAGAGTGTTGTTCAGGCTCTCCGCGGTGGCTGGAAGGGGAGGGGGG